TCAAAGGTTACTGCTGCGATTCGGGAATATTTTGAGGTATTTTTATTTCTTTTTCTTAATTTTTATATATTTCGGATGTTTACGAAATAATATTTTTGATATTTTTTGGGCAGTCACGAAAAAATGTGAAATTTTGATATTTATTTGTATCGATATTTTTTTAATATGCAAACAAGGGTGTGAGGAGGGGTCATGCCTATGGCCCTCTAGGTGTCAGCCGTCGTCTCAGCATCGGTGTATATAAAAAAAAAACAAAATTTGCATATTAAAAAAAGTGTGAAGAAATGAAAAGAAAAAGAAAATAATGGCTGCTGGGATGTGCTGAAATGAAGAAAAAAAGGGAATCACTCAGAAAAGAGTTGTGTGAAAATGAAACTTTGGAAAACCAAGGGACTAATCACTTACGAACCCAAATATCCATTCCCTAGCCTGAGCCTATGTTACAAGCCGATAAAGTCCTACAGTGATCCTATTCCGGGTATTTGCAAGATAGAGCGAAGAAAGCAGGGGAAAGCATATGGTAGTTTGTTGCTAGTGTTAAAAGTTCTTTAAGAGTGTGAGCGTAATACTCAGTCCTAATTATCATGAGTGAGGGACTATGTCACGACCCGTATAGGCGTCTGTGATCTTCACTTGGGGTTCTTTTGCACTTCTTCTTTCTGCTCAGATTGCAATCACCCTCAACTTAGGCTTTTGGCCTGAGTTGTGACATCGTATCTTCGGAAACCAAAGGATATGATATTTACTGGGTAAGAACAAAACTGACTTTTAGGCTCAAATCGGGTTCAATTGGTAAGCTTTTTATTTGGTAGTTCTATTTTTGGCTTTTTTATTGGCTTTACAAAAAATGGCCTACTGATCCTTTCCTATCCGGTTATTCTCAGACTTAAGCAAGACTACTTGGGTAAGTTCTAGTTTCTACTCCTAGTGTTAGACTTCAAACAACACTCTCTCATGACACAGGACTACATTATCCAGTTTCTTGGTTCACCAATTTATTGATCAGACTAACAATGTTCAACATGTAAGTATCTAAGATGTCATCTAAAGATCCTAACAGTTAAAGTTTAGATTCAGGTCATCATTTCTAACAGACTAGCTGTTGCACAACTCAACACAGAAACACAAACACAAAACCAAATTTTTTAATAGTAAACACAGAGTCAATCTCCATTCAACTTAGAATGGCAGGTTTCTCACCACCCCCTCCCCAAAAAAAAGGACTTTGCCCTCATAGTCAATAGAGAAAGTAAAACAGGGTTGTGAGGAGGGGTCATGCCTATGGCGCTCTAGGCGCCGGTCGTCGTCTCAGCATCGGCACCCTTATCAACGGGTGCACTCTCAGAACTCAGCACATGATCAGGTTGGTCACCACTCGTCGGGGTAGGTGTTGCGCTACCAGAAGTTCCAGTTAACACTGCATCTCGTTGTTGTTGCTCATGAGCTTCTTTTTCTCTCGCTGCCTTCCTTGATGCCTTGCGGGCTTTCTTTTCTTGCCTTCTTTCCTCTTTGGACAGGTTAGCAGGTATCTCCTCATCAGATTCTCCGGCTCAGTGTTTCCTCTTGCCGGACTTACTTGTGGGTAGCTCTCCCCAGAGACCATCAATTGATTGACTGGAGGGTGCCTGATTTAGCATTTTCATTAAAGAATCTGTCATTATCGAAGTGGGTACATGTACTGGATTTTCAGCCAGTTTAGCAACCTGAGTTATTATCTCAGCCAACTTTCATTTGAACTCTTCAGTATCTACTGACCGGTTGCCTGGCATCGATCTTGGACAAGGTTCTCCAAACCATCCATTCTGTCTTTTAAGACAGCCAGCTCCTTCCGCATCTCATATTTGATCTCTTTTTTCGCAGCTAACACCTTTGTCTCTATTAGCTGAGGCATCCAAATTACAATCTGGTCTACAAATGTCCTGGTTTGGCGCTGATCTGCAACCAATTTCTCAAGAAAAATCATAGGAATGGTGACATAGGTACCTGGAGTCTAGGAGGCAGAAGCTAGTGGTGGTAGTGCCTCTGTGGAAGGCTGTGATGACTCTTCCTGCTCTAGGCCTCTCTCTGCCTGTGGAATATCAAGTGGGACATAAGGAACAACAGCTAAAGTACCCACAGCCGCAGACTTCGCGCCAAAGAGATGGTTCGCAACATCCTTGATTTTAGAAACCTGGATAAGTCTGCGTGCTTCACCCCATCTGTCAACCAGCCTATTCAGAGGAATGTTTGCTTGTCTACATAATTTCCCTATCAGACAGGGAAATGGAAGTCTGACTCTCTCATTTAATGCCATGTCTCTCATCTCGGTCTCTATTATTATCCCCACATTTATCGGGTAACCAACTATAAGACACGCTACCTACGAAGCCAGGAAGGGTACAAAGTGTTATCATTAGCTGTCGATCGCAATTGTGCCCGGATGATAGCCCAACAAACCTTGGCTGGAAAAGATAGTGAAGCTTTAGTAATGAGTGTTGGAGTTGTTGTGACCCAACCTGCATTCTCCCCATCTACAACAATTTGCTTTGCAATCCATCGCAAAACCCTCTCTCGAGAATTCTAATCTTCAATCGTAGTATCACTAGTGACCTCATGATGTTTTCCTTTAAGAAGGCCAACTGAAGCTAGTGTAGTGTATTCTGGGCCATGCAACATCCTGTTAATAGTGGCCTCAGAGATGTCTATCAGTTTACCCCGATCTATGATTGAGTTGAGTGGACCCCAGGTAATGGCAATATCTCTCTGTCCACGTTTCGTAGTCTCTGTTTCTGCATCAAAGTTCATCAGTGTAGCTGCATAAGATGAATTAAACTCTGTAGCCATATGGATGAAGTATTCTCTAGGTGCATTGTCCATCCAATCGAACTGATGGAAATGAAATGTCCGATAAATATCGGGGAACTCCTTGATATCAACTACCACCACTCTAGTCTCAAGCATGATTGCGCACCTCTTGAAACTGCCATTCTTGGTCACAATACCCTTGTCGAAGAATTCTTTGGACCGGTTCACAGTCCACATGGGGCGGTAACAGGCAATCAGTTGCGGTCTAGCTACAGGATCAGGTTCATGGATGTTCAAATACATCACCATGGTATTATCATCGGTGATCTCTACATCCTCATCTATAGTAGTTGCCTCCTCTCGTACTCCAGTTTCAGCCTCTGCATTTACCGTAGGTGGAGAGGTGTTTGCATCTTCCTGAGAGCCGCTTTCAGACTCTGCATTGCCCCCCGAATTATCAGTAGACTGGCTACCTGAACCAGGATTAGATTCACTACCCGATGCTTCAATGCTACTGGAACGACTTCCTCCCTCTTCAGACTGCGGAGGAGTGTCCTGGAGAATTGCTCTCTTGGTATGTGCTCTAGTATCCCGAGGTGAGTGATCTTCAGGTGTGACATTTATTTGCACCTCAGAACTATTGGACTTTGTGTCATTGTGACCTTCTGATTGAGAAGAAGTGATGGGGGAAAGTTTTGTTGCGTTCTTTCATCGAGGAAGGCATAGTACCTGAGAAACACAATACTAATTAGTACAAAACTCAATAAAATGACACACTATCGGGTACTCAGGCTTTCCCTGTGTAATTACCTCATGACGCCTTGCCTTAAGAATGTCGTCACCCAATCTATCATTGGGAAGGGCCATGGAATCAAGAAACGACAGAAATAAAAGTACAGAAAAGTAAAAAAAATTACAACCCAAGTAAACTCTACGGGAGCTGTCACGGGCCGTGGTAGGTACCATGGTCCGTTAAACCCCTCGTGGAGTTAATACAGAATTAGTGTGCAACAGTGTGTGACATCTGCTCAACCAAGTAATATTCACGGACGGTTTCACGGCCCGTAGAGTGAACCATGGTCCGTGATACGGGTCGTGAATTTAACTGGTGGGTGGAAGGAATTCAAGTGTGGTCCACGATTGGTTTCACGGCTCGTGGTAGCTTCCACGGTCCTTAAAACCTATCGTAGTCTTACACTTGGTCATTTCATTTGTCATCTTCTTCCCCACATTCACTATATTACAAAATTACAGTACCAAACTCCCATTATTACAAAGGAACACCACCAACCCATATTCACCCCTCAACACCTTTCCTAATAAATTCAACTAAATAATATACGATCACAACCAACTTAGACAACCACAACTTCAACCCACTGTTATCATACAAGAACAATTAAAAACACCCAAGTCAACTTAACCCACAACAAATCAATACCAATTAAAGTAGCTCATCATATAATCATGCTAATTTCGATCAAATATAAGTAGTTCTAACTTGTATCTAATTAAAATTAAGCCTATAACAAGTGAATTTGGAGACTTACTTCAAATGAGAGCACACTTATGGTTACACTACTTCAGATAACGAATGACCCACACTGTGATGCTTTGACACTAGAACTAGGGTTTCAAATTTTCCAAGAATTTGGAATTTATAGATGATGGAAGCCTAGGTATGAATTTGATAACCGTTATGGAAGAGAAAATAGGGAGAAAAACCTGACCTTTGGCGTTTGAAGAGCAATATATACGTTTTAATTTAATTTTCCTTTCACGCGGTCGGGTCGGTTTCTTGGAAGTACTGGGTTGTGGACGATGGACCGTGAAAGTGCCCGTGAAGGTCACCACGGTCCGTACAGTGGTCCGTGGAATTGACTTAGGATAAAATACTTACTTGTGGTTCACGAGAGGCTAGACGGTCCGTACAAATCTTGACGGACTGTGAACCCTTTTTGTGGAAAATTCCAGTAGCCTCATTTGGTTGGTCCTAAGATTGACGGACCATGAAAGTGTCCATGAAGGGCACCACGGTCCGTGAGACTGCCCGTGAAGAGCAGTCTGCACCCAGCTCCTGCACATCAACACACAGTGACTCTATAAAAACAAAGAAAATAAAGAAAAAGAACAATACCTAATACAATTAAATCTTGGATTGCCTCCCAAGCAGCGCACAATTTAACGTCGCGGCGTGACGCAGGTTACTTGATTACTCAGACTTCTTCAAGTTTACATTCCTCCACAATCTTCACATCCTCTGGAACACTCAAGTATGCTTTGATTCGCTGGCCATTGTCTTTGAACCTCTCGCCCTTATCATTTTCCAGCTCAATAGCACCCGACTGACACACATGCGTTACCTTAAAAGGTTCAGACCATTTGGGTCTCAACTTTCCCGAAAACAGACGAAGTCTGGAGTTGAAAAGTAACACCAAGTCACCAGGAGTGAAGCTTCTTTTCTCAATATGCTTGTCATAGTATAGCTTTATCCTCTCCTTATACAGTGCAGACCTCTCATAGGTCAGACGGAACTCATCTATCTCATTGATCTGATCCAACCTTAGGTTTGCAGTTTCGCTCCAACTAAGATTCAGCTTCTTCAAAGCCCAGATTGCTTTGTGCTCAAGCTCAACCTGCAAATGACATTCCTTTCCAAACACCAATTGATATGGGGACATACCAATAGGCGTCTTGAAAGCTGTCCAATATGCCCATAAAGCATCATCTAACTTCCGTGCCCAATCTGTCCTGTTGGCATTTACCGTTTTAGCCAGAATTGCTTTAATTTCCCTGTTGGAGACCTTCACTTGGCCACTAGTCTACGGGTGATAGGGTGTTGCTACCTTGTGCTATTTGACTCCATATTTAGCCAGAAGAGAGCTGAACACCTTATTGCAGAAATGAGAACCACCATCACTGATGATAACTTTGAGTGTGTCGAACCTTGAGAAGATATTCTTCTTCAGAAAACCAGCAACCCTCTTACTATCATTCTCAGGCAACTGCCTCAACCCATTTGGACACATAGTCTACTGCAACCAGTATATATTTATGCCTATAGGAGCTCACAAATGGGCCCATGAAGTCGATTCCCCACACATCAAACAACTCCACCTCCAGAATAGGTGTCATGGGTAACTCATGGCGCCGAGAGATGGCTTCTTGTCGCTGGCATACATCACAACTCCTCACTACATCCATCACATCCTGATGAATTATGGGCCAGTAGTACCCACACTGAAGTATCTTGTGGGCTGTCTGGGCACCTCTATGATGACCACCTACTGGAGAGGAGTGACAGGCTTCTAGAATATGCAACATCTCAGCTTCAGGAACATTTCTCTTGATGATGCTGTCAGCACACACCCTGTAAAGATAAGGTTCATCCTAAAAATACTTACCCACATCATGCAGGAACCTCTTCCTTTGTTGATAAGTCAACCCCTCAGGCATCAAATCACTAACGAGATAGTTAGTAAAATTAGCGAACCAACGAATAAGATCAAGAGTAGCGGCTAATACATGCTCATCTGGGAATGGATCATTTATGTCGAGCTCTAGTTCCTCTTTCTTTTCAGCCTCCAACCTCGACAGGTGATCAACCACTTGGTTCTCACAACCTTTCCTATCCTTCACCTCAAAATCAAACTCCTGAAAAAGTAACACCCATCTGATCAACCTTGGTTTGGCATCCTTCTTTGCCATAAGGTATCTCAGAGTTGCATGGTCTGTATGGACTATCACTCTAGTTCCCAACAAATAATCTCTGAACTTCTCAAACGCATACACCACAGCCAACAGTTCCTGTTCAGTAATTGTGTAGTTTCGTTGTGCTCCATCCAATGACTTACTAGCATAGTAAATCGGATGGAACATCTTGTTGCTATTTTGGCCCAACACTACTCCTAAAGCAGTACCACTTGCATCACACATCACCTCAAATGGCTCTGCCCAATTTGGGCCAATAATCACGGGGGTAGAAATCAACTTCTTCTTCAGGCATTCAAAGGCATGCCTCATCAAAAATTAATTTCACCTCCTTCTCTAAAAGCTTGCACATGGGGTGTACAATTTTGGAGAAGTCCTTAATTTAACGCTTATAAAATTTGGCATGTTCTAAGAAGCTCCGAACACCCTTCACACAAATAGGTGGAGGCAACTTTTCAATCACCTCAATTTTGGCCTTGTCGACCTCTATCCCCTTTTGTGACACCTTGTGCCCAAGGACTATGCCTTCTTTAACCATAAAATGGCACTTTTCCTAGTTCAGCACTAAGTTGGCTTCCTCACACCTCTGTAGGGCCCTGCTAAGATTCAGCAAACAATCATCAAATGTATCACCTACCACTGAAAAGTCATCCATAAATACCTCCAGAGTGTCTTCTACCATGTCTGAAAAGATAGACATCATACACATTTGGAATGTTGTTGGTGCATTACATAGTCTAAATGGCATGCGTTTAAACGCAAAGGTGCCATAAGGACATGTGAAGGTAGTCTTTTCCTGATCTTCAGGAGCAATTGATATATGGTTGTAGCCAGAGTATCCATATAAGAAGCAGTACCACCCTTTTCCAGCTAACCTTTCAAGCATCTGGTCCATGAAAGGCATCGAGAAGTGATCCTTCAGGGTCTACTTGTTCAGCTTTGCCATCCAGTGACTGTCCTCTGTGGGACCAACTCATTCTTGGCGTTAGCAACCACAGTCATACTACCTTTTTTGGGCACACATTGAACTGGACTAACCCAATGACTATCAGAAATGAGATACACCACCCCAACATCTAACCACTTGATTATATATTTCTTGACCACCTCTTGCATAAGTGGGTTTAACCTCCTCTGGTGTTCAATGCTTGGGCTGCAGTCCTCCTCAAGTTGGACCTTATGGGTACATATACCTGGAGGTATCCCAATGATGCGAGCAATGGTCCACCCAATGGCCCTTTTGTACCTAATCAACACTTTGATCACAACTTGGACCTGTTCATCATTTAAATCTACAGCCAAAATCACAGGTAAAGTGTTGTTAGTTCCCAAAAATACATACCTCAGATGACTGGGCAACTATTTCAGTTCCAGCACAGATGGCTCCTCAATGGATGGTTTTGCTGGAGGAGTTGGCTTGTTTTTCAAATCCAGGTCCAATTTCTTTGGAGCATAAGAGTGTACTCCCATACCCTGCAGAGCATTTACGGTCTCTACATAGTCGGACCGGAAGTCAGCTTCAAAGTTCATCAGCACTGCAACTAAGGTTTCGACAACCATCCTCTCTTCAATGGTTGCTCCCATTTCTTCTTCATCGAAGACCGTTATTGCAGACACCACATTCATATCATGTGGCTGCTTCATGGACCTGTAATTATTAAACTTTACCTCTTCCTTGTTGAGTCTGAACTTCAGTTCTCCTCGCTCAACATCTACCAATGCTCGTTCAGTGGCCAAAAATGGTCTTCCTAAAATAATAGTAACCTCGAAATCCACTTTGCAATCCAAGATCATGATGTCTGCAGGAAATATGAATTTGTACACCTTCACGAGCACATCACATAGAATGCCTACAGGTCATTTCACTGACCTATCTACCATCATCAACCTCATGGCTGTGGGTTTTTGAACTCCTAACCCAAGTTGCTTATAGATGGCTAGCGGCATCGTTGATACTGTCCCCTAGATCACACAAGTCCTTTGCAAATTCAATAGATTCGATAGTGCACGGTATGGTAAATGCACCCGGATCCTCCTTCTTCTGTACCATTGACCTGGTAGCGATAACGCTACAGTGATGAACATTGTCAGTTAGATCGATACTTACAGCTCTTTTCTTTGTGACCAAGTCCTTCATGAACTTGGCATATCTTGGCATCTGCTCAAGGGCTTCCACCAATGGTATGTTCACGGACAGCTGTCTCAGCATACTGATGAATTTAGCAAATTTCCTATCCTCGACTTTCTTTTTAAGCCTTTGAGGGAAAGGATGAGGTGGTCTTGGGATTTGCTGTAACGGCAAAGTTCTCTCAACCTCTTTTTCTTTAGCTCCTGCTGGTTTAGCTATTGGTTGCGCATCCTCCAAGTCATCTACTTGCTCAGCTTCATCCTCTTTTCTTCCATCTTGCTCCAACACATGCTCATGTTTAGTACCTACAGAAATAGGGTCAGTAAGGATCTTACCACTCCTAGTGGCGATAGCCATGCAATGCCTGTCTTTTTTGGGATTTTGGATCGTGTCACTTGGTAGTGACCTATTCTTCCTCTGTTGCCCCAATTGTTGCTCAATCTGCTTGATGGAGGTGGTGTGAGAGTCTACTAGCTTACTCATACTGGAGAAATCACTTTTCATCTCCTTCACCCGTTCATCAGTTGATTTCACCTTTTGTAGCACCTTGGCCAACATGTCTTCCAGCTTAGACCCGCTGGAACTACCACTTGCCCGATCTCTATTACTTGAGGGCACATATACACCACTGCGATCATTCCTGTACCCATCTTTATTCTACCAGTTTCCCTGCTCTTTGTTTGCTAGCCTATCATACTGCCCTTCCCTTGAGAAGTTCCGACCTGCATTTCCAGAATTGTAACCCTGGTTGCCTGAGTTATAATTCCGAAAACCTCCTTAGTCTCTTTACCGAGAGGCATAATTCTCCCTTCTATGAGGATGTTAAGACCGCTCAAGCAGACCATTTCCAGGGCTTTTTAAAACAAAAGCAGCAAGCCCGAGTGGAAATGCAAGAAAGGCTTAACTCTCATACTGAATGGGAATATCTCTCGAAAAGGATGACCTCCTTAGCGGAAGAAAACCGCGCTCTACGTGAAAAAATAAGCATTCTCGCCAGGAAAACCCATAAAATTCGTCTTTGTTGTCTTGCTGTCGTGTCGTAAAGTTTCGTTCCCCAGGTAATTTGCCTCCTCATCTAAATCAATGTCCTGATCTTCAAACCTATTTGGTTGGCTCACCGCATTTACCTTTTCAGACTTGGAGACAATATGCTTTATGAGTAGATCTATTTGGGTCCTCATGTGTCCCATATCCTATTCTCTTTCTTCTTGTCGCTTCCTTTGTTCATTCGACAGTTCAAATGTGTACCCCAGATCTCCTACTTCTGCATCCCTGATGTACAATGCCCTGTTATTCTTTAACACTTTGTCCATCAGTTGCATGCTCTCTGAAAATGGTTTCTTCATAAATGATCCCCCACACACTGCATCAACAACAGGTTTAGTGACATAGTTCAAAGATCTATATAAAGCTTGTTTTAAATGCCTCTTAGTGAGACCATGGTTTGGGCACTTTTTTATCTTTTGGCTGAATCTCCACCAAGTGTCATGCATTGCTTCTCCTGGTAGCTTCTTATGGGCACTGATATCGTCTTTCATCTGCAGTTCCTTTGATTCCGGAAAGAATCAATCTATAAAAGCCTCCTTCAACTCAGTCCAAGTCCTGATTGAGTCAACCAGCATCTCATTTAACTAGTTGGATGTCTCTCCAGTAAGAGACAAAGGAAACAACCTCAACCTCAACGTTGTTTGGCTTACTCCAGGAATCTCTTGCGATTTGCAAATCGCCACAAAGTTCGTCAAATGTTGGTTCGTATCATCGCCAGCTGCACCCCTGAACATACCTTTAAGATTTAGCAATTGAATCATCATGCTGGTGATTGTGAACCTCACACCTGGAGGTAGTGCAGGTAACACTATCGCTCATGTAGCTCCAGCTCCATCCAAGTATGCATCATCTTCGTCATACATCATGTGAGTTGGATGTTGTGCTCTACCCCTTGGAGCTATTGGTTGGCGGTGGGGAGGAATGATTCCATCCACTGCAATGTTTTCGTCCACTGCCATGGGTCGGTTATTCACAACATTCAACTGAATACCTCTTGTGACGGTTTCAGCTTCCAATCCAAATCTCAGTCTCTGTGCCTCAAGTTCTTATGCGTTCACCATTTTTCAAATTGTGTTCCTGAGTTCTGGGTCGTATGGGACTAATGGGGCTTCCTTACTTTTGGTATTTGGCATACACAGTCGAACTCACCTGAAAGAGAAAGAGACAAAGAACAAGATGTAAAATTAGGAAATCTAACTACACTTAGAATAAAAGCTAGTAAAACACTTCTAAATTGAAATTCCCAGGCAGCGGCGCCAAAATTTGATATGTCCAAACTTACACCTTAAGAGATATAAATGGTCGAAGTCCATTTATAGAACTGAACGTGAGTTGAGGTCGATCGATCCCAAAGAGAATTTCTTTACAGAAATGATTTCACTGTCGCCTTTTACCCAAGTGTTGTTATTATTTCCTAAATAAATAATTGCGGAAAGTAAAATTGAGTTTAGCGTTAACGTTTTGATATCCAAAGTTGCAAACTAAAGTCTAATTCAACAAGTAACCAAATATCAGTTTCAAAGTTGTTTCAATAATTAACCGAAACTAGGATTGTGTTCCCCATAACGATATGTCTAATGTTCTTACGTAATTGAGTTTCAGGCAGCTTACGTCTACAAACTACATGCGAGTTAGCTATATCTGACACTTCTCAGTCTACTCAGATAATCTTCACTGAAGTCCTCTCAGTCCTAGAGTATTACACGATTTACCCTCGCCTATAATGGTGTTAAGGTTCTTTTCTCTCGAACTCGAAATTTGACTCCAATCAGTTAGATTAGTTCAGCTTTTTCCTAACTATCATTTTCTCTCGAACAAATGACAGATACATGCTAAACCTAATGCGTGCACTCATCAAGATATATGAATAACAAAAACTAAACTACAGTTTGTAACCACAACATGCCTTTCACTAGTTTTACGAAATCACACATAGAATTTTGTCATGGATCCCACAACCCCAGTTGTGGTGTTTAGCTATTCATAATTTCAAGTAAATGTTCAGAAACATATAATGAAAACATGCTAGAAAATACTTTCGAGAATAAGCAAATCAACCACCTCTTTTATATTTCAAGAACCGAAAAATCGAACTTCAAACTTAATTCAATATCCAAAATCGAAATCCAAAAGCTATGAATAATGGAATCTTGTTCGTCGTTCAATGAAAGATAAGATAAAAACGTATAAACGACCTAATTAATTCAAATAAGTGTTTTTAAAAAGAGTCCTACTCGAAGTAGGACTGAACTATCGGACCCTTTCACGGCCACTTTCACGACCTGTCGAGGGCTTCACGGTCGTGAAGCCCTCCGTGGTCTTCCTTTGATATTCCTTATCCTTAAGTCTTCAAGGCTTGAACACTGGAATATGCATCACGGACGTCACCACGGACCGTTAAAGAGACCACGGTCTGTCTGAGTGTCTGTGGTCTTCACTTGGAACTCCCAAAGTCTGGGTCTTCAATGCCACCACACTGGAAATTGCACCACGGACAACACCATAGACCATTAAAGAGACCACGGTCCATCTGGGTGTCCGTGGTCTTCACTTGGTTTAATCCCATTTCCACTCTTTGACTTTTGGCCACTGGTTCAACTTTACGAACTATGTCACGATCCGTCTTGTTATTCACGGCCCGTATAGGCGTCTGTGATCTTCACTTGGGGTTATTAGCAAACTTCCCTGAATGGCACACCTACTGGATAGCAACCACGAGCATTTTCACGGCTCGTTAGAAGGACCACGACCCGTCAAGGGCTCCGTGGTCTTCACTTGGACATCAAAATCTCAGATCCCAGCTTGCATTTTCTTCTTTTCTTCGCTTTCACTACTACCTGTTTTACCTGTACAAACACTACCAAACACATAATATCCATATAACTACACCTGATTTTAGTACTGATTCTTAGTTTTCAAACATCAAATGTGCCAAGATTTCGCGGCACATCACAATCACTAAAAAATGTGAAATTTTGATATTTCATTTGTATTGATATTCTAAGGTGACTGGTGCGATTTGGGAATTTTTTGAGGTATTTTGTGTCTTTTTCTTGATTTTAATATTTTTCGGACGTTTACAAATTAGAATTTAAGATATTTTTCGGGCAGTCACGAAAAAATGTAAACTTTTGATATTTTATTCGTATCGATATTATAAGGTGTCTGGTTCGATTCAGGAATTTTTTAAGGTGTTTTTATGTCTTTTTCTCTATTTTTATATTTTTCTAACGTTTACGAATTAAAATTTTTGATATTTTTCGAGCAGCAACGAAAAAATGTGAATTTTTTATATTTTATTCGTATCGATATTATAAGGTGTCTGGTTCGATTCAGGAATTTTTTAAGGTGTTTTTATGTCTTTTTCTCTATTTTTATATTTTTCTAACGTTTACGAATTAAAATTTTTGATATTTTTCGGGCAGTCATGAAAAATAGTGAACTTTTGTATATTTTATTCGTATCGATATTCTAAGGTGACAACTGCAATTATGAAATTTTTGAGGTGTTTTGTTGTCTTTTTCTTGATTTTTATATTTTTCGGACGATTACGAATTAAATTTATTGATATTTTTTGAGAAGTCACAAAAAAATGTGAAATTTTGATATTCTATTCATATCGATATTCTAAGGTGACAACTGCAATTATGAAATTTTTGAGGTGTTTTGTTGTCTTTTTCTTGATTTTTATATTTTTCGGACGATTACGAATTAAATTTATTGATATTTTTTGAGAAGTCACAAAAAAATGTGAAATTTTCATATTTTATTCAATTTGATATTCTAAGGTGACAAGTGCGATTCGGGATTTTTTGAGTTGTTTTTATGTCTTTTTCTTGATTTTTATATTTTGCGGACGTTTACGAATTAAATTTTTTGATATTTTTCTAACAGTCACAAAAAAAAGTAAAATTTTGATATTCTATTCGTATAGATATTCTAAGGTGACTGGTGCGATTCAGAAATTTTTTAAGGTGTTTTAATATCTTTTTCTTGAATTTTCTATTTTTGGAATGTTTACGAATTAAATTTATTGATATTTTTCGAGCTGTCACGAAAAAAATGTGAAATTTTGATATTTTATTCATATCGATATTTTAAGATGAATCGTGCGATTCAAGAATTTTTTGAGGTGTTTTCATGTCTTTTTCTTGATTTTTATATTTTTCGGTTGTTTACGATTAAATTTTTTGATATTTTTCGGGCAGTCACGAAAAGATGGAAAATTTTGATTTTTTATTCGTATCGATATTCTAAGGTGACAAGTGCGATTAGAAAAAATTTTGAGGTGCTTTAATGTTTTTTTCGAACATTTACAAATTAAATTTTTTGATATTTTCGGGCAGTCACGAAAAAATATGAAATTTTGAAGAAAAACAATTGTGTCGATATTTTAAGGTGATTGGAGCGATTTATGAATTTTTTGAGGTGTTTTGATGTCTTTCTATTGATTTTTATATTTTTCGGATGTTTACGAATTAAAAATTTTGATATTTTTTTGGGGAGTCACAAAAAAATGCAAAATTTTGATATTTTAATTGTATCGATATTCTAAGGTGACAGGTGCGATTCGGGAATTTTATGAGGTGTTTTTATGTCTTTTACTTAATTTGTATATTTTTTAGACGTTTACGAATTAAAATTTTGATATTTTTTGGGCAGTCACGAAAAATGTGAAATTTTGATATCCTAGTCGTATCGATATTCTAATGTGACTGGTGCGACTCGGGAATTTTATTGAGGTGTTTTTATGTCTTTTTCTTGATTTTTATATTTTTCAAGCATTTACGAATTAAAATTTTTGATATTTTTTGGGCAATCAGAAAAAAATGTGAAATTTTGATTTTTTATTTTTTATCGATATTCTAAGGTGACATGTGTGATTCATGAATTTTTTTAGGTGTTTTTATATTTTTTTCAGTATTTTTATATTTTTCAGACGTTTACAAATTAAAATTTTGATATTTTTCGAATTGTCACAAAAAAATATGAAATTTTGATTTTTATTCGAATCGATATTCTAAGGTGACATGTACGATTCGGGAATATTTTGAGTTGTTTTTTACTTTTCTTGATTTTGATATTTTTTGGATGTTTACAAATTAAATTTTTTGATATTTTTTCGGGTAATCACAAAATATGTGAAATATTGGTATTTTATTTGTATCGATATTCGAAGGTGACTGATGTGATTCGAAAATTTTTTGAGGTGATTTTATGTCTTTTTCTGGATATTTATATTTTTCGGACGTTTACGAAATAAAATTTTTGATATTTTTTGGATAGTCACGAAATAATCTGAAATTTGATATTTTATTCGTATCGATATTCTAAGGTGACTAGTGCGATTCGGAAATTTTTTGAGGTTTATATGTGTTTTTGTTGATTTTTATATTTTTCGTACGTTTACGAACTCAAATTTTTGACATTTTCCGGGATGTCACGAAAAAAAATGAATTTTTGATTTTCTATTCGTATTTATAATCTAAGGTGACTGGTGCGATTTGAGAATTTTTTGAAGTGTTTTTATGTCGTTTTCTTGTTTTTTATATTTTTCGGACGTTTACGAATTATAATTTTTTATATTTTTTGGGCTGACACGAAAAAATGTGAAATGTTTATATTTTATTCATATCGGTATTCTAAGGTGACAAGTGCAAATCAGGAATTTTTTGAGGTGTTTTTATGTCTTTTTCTTGATTTTTATATTTTTCGGACGTTTACGAATATAAATTTTTGATAATTTTCGGGCAGTCAGGAAAAAATATAAAATTTTGAAATTTTATTTCTATCGATATTCTAATGTGACAGGTGTGATTTTGGAATTTTATGAGGTGTTTTTATGTCTTTTACTTGATTTTTATATTTTTCGGGTAGTACCAAAAAAATGTTAAAATTTTGATATTTTATTTGTATCGATATTCTAAGGTGACTTGTCCGATTCAGGATTTTTGAGGTG